AGTATCATAAGGCCATTGCGAAACTCAAACAGTATGAGGTGGGAGTGCGCAGTAGATGTAGGTTCCAATCAGGCTGCTTACCATGCAGCATTGAGAAGTGTAAAGCCTATTGGATGAGGAGGGAAGGCAAGAGATTAGCAAGAAGCATATGTTCGAGCAATTTCTAAGACATGAGCTCAAGAAGCAGTGGAGAAAATGAGATAGCAGCAGCCCTGGGGGAGGGACCGGTTTAATTGTTGTTTCCTCATTTTTTACTTTGGGGGGTGATTTTTTAGTTATGAATTGTTTAGTATTGGGGGGTGTCACCCGGACTGGACTAATATGGGGGGAATCTTAACACAATGTCAAGATTACGTGGGTCTGGGTCACAATTCAACCACCAGAGGACCGCAGTGTCTGGTCGGTCCATGTTTCCATTTACCAGAGTTCAATGTTGGGTACCCACACCCATCTGTGTGTGTGTATATGTGTGTGTGTGCGTTTATGTGTGTATGTGCGTGCATGTGGCTGCAGGCAGGCAACGCAGGTTCGCCGCAGTTCGAATCGGATCTGCCACTTTTCGGGGTGCAGGCCACGGTGTGTCTTCGAGGAGGCCTTGGTCGTTTTGAAGGAAAACCCGCAGGAAAACCACTATGGGGGGGGTGTGTCCCAAAAAGTCAACACACCTATGTTGGGGCACAATTGAGAATCAACCGGAACCGTTCAAAACCTGAAGGAAAGCCCCATGAGTGACAAAACTCACTGCAGTTGGAAGGTGGTTTGTCACAGTAGTTCATGGGGTTCACAGTGCGTGGGGTCTCCATGACTATTTAGAAATGGGCTCAGGACCCCGTTATTTTTGGGTGGCGACCTCATTTTTGAAGGGTCTTGGAGAGTCCAGCTATGTGATGGTGACTTTTGGTTTTCTTAAATGACCACCCTCACTATTTGGGTGTGCATTGTTCCTTTTTTGATTTAAACAATCATTTCCTTGTGGGTGTACGTTTTTAGGGCAACCCCAAAAGGATACCCTCAGCAACCACGCATGCCCCTCGGCAGGAACACTTGGAGCACATGCTCACTCCTGCGGAGCCGCTTTGATGCACGCGGATGTGGGTCATGGGTGGGCGTTTCCTATTCGGGACTCAGGAGCCCAAGTTGGAGAGTTTTCCTCGGGTGGCGCATTTAAGGTTTTCCTTTCAAGGTTTCCAAATTTGGGCATGGGTCAAAATTAAACCACGAGGATATATGGACCGCAGTTTTTGTGCCATGCTTCAATTTTCCACGCCAAGCCATCTTGGATCAACCCTGTTTTTGACCCACACCCATTTCATGTTTCTTCAACCCTTAGGTTCAAGTTCAATTGAGAGAACGGGAGCCGAGGGTCAAAAACTCCCTGGTTTCCCATTGAGTGGATCCTGCACGGGGCGAGGATGGGGTGCACAAGCTGAGCAAGTCAAGTAACGGTTTGATATGGGTTCTCAAGAACCTTGCTTATTTTGCCCTATTGGCTTTACAGGGAATCTACCAGGGACTTAGGAACATGGGGCGCCCCTAGCCTATCATTGGTGGTTTTCTTTAACAACCACCCAACAATTTGTCGGGAAAACGCAGCCACGAAACCGAGCCGAGGAAGAAACATCCGAAAAAGACAGAGCCGACCACCACTGAACTCAGTTTGAACTCCACGGAAGAAGTCCGAAACCGAGCCGAGGAAGGAGCAGATCCTTTGCATCCTGCAGGCCACACCAGCCCAGGAGGACGAAAAGCGCCACCGGCCACCAGAGATTTCCAGGCCTCTGTGGTGATCGCCTGGGTGAGAACCCCCCTAATAACAACTAGGTCCCCCAGTAGTGCCCTCTCTCCCCCTGTTTTGGGGGAGGGTTCCTCTACTAGAATAGGCTTAAAAAAAAGTTGGTACCCTTATTCCAACCTCTCTACTCGAGCACCTAGACAAGGTTTTATGCTGGGTTATAGCTTACAAACAGGATTTGCAGATGGGGGGCGGTTTCGATTGACTCCTGATGACATGGGCGGTGGCAAACATGTCGTGATGTTACACTCAAGAATGTCCAATGTCAATGTAGTACTATAACTTTCGCCTTCTACATGAATACAATACACTATATAGTTGCAGTTGGATCAGACACGAATGGAAGCCCAGGATCCATAAACTTCTGGTTGATTCATGGCGTATTCCATAGAGGAACGCTGTGTCAATCCGATTTATTTATCAATCCAGGGCAGCTTACACCGATATTTTGAGAAATGATTGGTAGTCTTCTGTTGGCTTGGGAAGGACATGCAGGGGGCAACAACACGGGGGCCACCATGTTCTCTTGGGGATCAAATAATATTGTATTGCCCCTAGGCCATATGTTGTGTTTTTTGAGTTGCCCGGTTTTGGTTGTGAAGAGACCACAGGGAAACTTTTCTCGCGTGGGTTTTCAACTCAAAAAAGGCTGCTGCCAATAGTTTCCTGCTAGCCTCTGCTACTCGCGAATTCCGGTAGCCAAGGAACGACGGCGGGGGGGGGTGGTGGTGAGGGTGGGAGTTTCGGGTGAATGACGAACAGAGACCAGCTTGCCCATCTTTTGGCACGCCAAAGCCATAAACCAATTAAAATCGTACCCCTGACCAAAAACCTTTGTTCGCCCTTATATTTATACCTGGAGTGTCCATGACCCTTAAAAAATGGGGTCACCCAAAATGAAGAGGTCGTGGATTTATGCTTTAAGGGTCATGGACCCATGCTTTAAGGGTCATGGAGACTCTAGGCTATTGATTCCTTTCTTGGGCTGTATCCAAACGAGTTCGTCTTCAGGAGCGCATGGTGAAGTGGTTCTTCCAGCGGAACATCGACTGCCGGCAAGGCGGCGATCGGTGGCTTCGCTGGAAGTCGAATCAGATTGTGCATGAGCTGTTCCTTGGTTGGTGCTTCGAATTGGTGGCTTCGAATTGGATTCGCACGGGTGACATGGGTGGCTTTCTGTTTTTTGTATTGTAAGGTTGGACCCCCAAACCGGTTTGGTTTCCCTTTCTAGGTCCCCCAGTGGTGCCCTCTCGCACCGTTTTTTGGGGGACGGCTCCCCTACTAAAATAGACGAACATGAAACAAGTTGGTACCAACTTATTCTATCCTCTCTACTGGTGGACCTAGTTGGTGCTTTGATAAAATAAAGGAAGCTCCTCAACCAAACCACCAATCCAAACCACCAGTTGGAGGGAAGCTGTGCGTACGTGTGTCTTTGTGTGTTTTTGTCTTCGGGTCTCTGCGTCTCTGTATCTCTGTCTCTGTAACCGCTCAGAGCGACGCCCTCCAGAATGGCAACCCAAGCTTCAAACTGCTAGCTCTCTAATTTGAGCTAACGTGTTTCATTTTCATATGTCGAATAAAGAACGACCACCCTTTGAAGTTGGGATTGCAAGACTGGTGATTGCATCCGGCTGTTCATGGAATCCCTCAGCGAAAACAGGGTCCAAGGGGGGGTGGAAAGTTTATTTGGATTTTTGAAGGCTTTGTAAGGCTACAAAACCCAAGAAAACCCTTCTTAGGGCTCTCAGCTACCCCTCCTTGAACCTACCCCTGGAAGCTCTGTGGTGCTTGGGGCCCTTGCCGGCTAGGCCAAGATGTGCACCTGGCCGCGCGGGCCTAAGGACTCAGGGTGTCCATGTTGTCGAGATGTTTTGTTTGGATTGAACATCACCGTGTCGCCTTTTAAACATCACCAAAGGGAAAACACAATGTTTGTGGGGGAGAGGGGCTGCCCTGTGGCCAACCGTAAAGAGAGCTTTCAAGTTGCATGCCTTGAATTGAATCAGCAAGGATTCGAAGCCTGTCAAGTTTCCTGGCACAAAGACACGTCCTTTTGGTTTGGTTGGACACGCTTGGTGACAACCAACGCAGTGCTTCCCGCAAGGGATGTGCAGAAGTGTGTTGGGGTCAGAATCCCGTTCGGTTGGCTCTAGGTGTTTCCTTGGTTCTCAGGGAAAATGACCCAACCATCCGCTGTAGTTTGCTTGGATGTTCGCTTCGCGTTGGTAAGTGCTTAGCCAACCCCCCTAGTAAACAAAAGTTAATCCCGCTCAGGGGGACTTACAAGTGGGATGTGACTTGGGTTGCAACTGCAACTTCCGAGCATGGCCAAGCCGAAGGTAGGGCTCCGACTCGATCCTCCCGGTTCTATTTTCACCCTCGAACCAGCAAGTTTCGGAGCCCAGGGCTCAGAGTGACACGGGCGGCTTTCTCCTTCTTTTTTTGAATATGTACCCCAAACCGGTTTGGTTTCCCTTTTTAGGTCCCCCAGTAGTGCCCGCTCTCACCGTTTTTTGGGGGAGGGTTCCCGTACTAAAATTGACTACAGAAAAAAGGGTGCCCTTATTCCAACCTCTCTACTGGAGGACCTTGAGGTTGGACCCCCAAACCGGCTTGGTTTCTTTTTAGTGCCACCAAAAAGGGGGGGTGCCTCAAAAGAAGACACACCCACACGGGCAGACTCGCGCCATGTCTTTGGCTGAACATCTTGCGCAAGACAAAGCCGAAATGCCTGTCAAGCCAGTTTACAACATCTGCAGCCAACAGCGAACCTGATCGGAATTCCCATATGACTGACCAAATTAGTGCCGCCCCACAACTCTTCAAGTCTTCACTGCATTGATTGCTTGGCATGTCTGTTTGCACTTGTTGTCAGGTTTCTTCCTCATAGGAGTCAGGGCCTAAACAGTAATTTAGAAAGAATCCGGTGAGTCAAGTGGCAAATCAGGACCTCCCACGATCAGACCTTATAGTCAACTCAGCTGGTCCATGCTTCTTGAGTTCTTGGACTTTCGGGGTCTGGTTGCCATTTTAGTGGAGAAAAGTTTGACTGGTTCTTCTGGCCAGTCCACATATTTCAGTGGGAATCTAAGAAACTTCCAGCTTCTTTTTTGGCCAGTCCGCATATTTTAGTGGGAATCTATAAGGAACTTCCAAGGGGTCCACATTTTAGTAGTCATCTACGAAAGTTCCAAAGCTTCTTTTGGCCGTTCCACGCGGGAAACGTCGTCGGAAGTCTGCTGAAAGCGGCGATGGGGCTGGCGCTGGCCTCCCACTTCGCGGAGTGCCCCTTCGGCACGCGGCTGCTGGCGGCGCTCTATGGCCTCGGCTGCCGGGGGGCCCAGGGAGCGGGCGGTTTGGGGCCTCGAGTCAAGTTTGGGTCGGTTTGCTTTTTGAAAGAAGTCTTGGTCTTCCCAAAGATATGAGGGTTGATCAATATTTCATGTAGGGGAATGCCCCCAGGTTTGTGAGATTATGGGTAACATGTTTCACGGCATGGAAGGGTGTGTTCCATGAGCATTTTTTTGGGTGAGCTTGCTGCAGGCTGCTTTGGAGATCGTGGAATAGTGCGCTTGGTGCATCTTTTGGTGCTCTGGCTTCCATGGACCCGAATTACTGCATACCTTCAGCGGCACGTTTGCGCCTTGTTTTCCAACACCTCGAGAAGGAAGGCCATGGGTGTTTGAGTGAGATTGGATTGCAGTTTAGCTTCCAATTGATTTGAGTTTCCTATTGGTTTAGTATTGCTGAGGAGTTGAGTTTCAACTGGTTGAGTATTGCTGGAGCCTCTTTTGAGATTTGACTTGTTGGGATTCGATTGATTTAGTATTGCTGGTGACACTTCTTTTGTTTGGGGGGGTAGCCAGGAATCTTTATTTAGGGGGGCCCCCTTAATAATGTTTTTTTCAACCCCCAAGTACTACCCCCCTTGTGGGGTTGATTGGGGGCCACTTTTTAAACAGACGTATGTCAAGAATTTGCAGCTTGGGAGCTGGGATTTTTTGTAGATCTGAAATTTTATGGCAGGCGAGGCAGATACTGACCAATCAGACAAGCTGGTGGAAGAGGTTGAGATGATGCTAGCGGGTGTGTGTGTGTGTTGTTTGGTGTGTGTGTGTGTGGGTGTGGGTGTGTGGATGTATGGGTGTGTGAGTGTGTGGGTGTGGGTGGGTGTGTGTGGGTGTGTGGGTGTGTGTGGGTGTGTGTGGGTGTGTGTGGGTGTGTGTGTGGGTGTGTGTGTGTGTGTGTGTGTGTGTGTGTGTGTGTGTGTGTGTGTGTGTGTGTGTGTGTGTGTGTGTGTGTGTGTGTGTGTGTGTGTGTGTGTGTGTGTGTGTGTGTGTGTGTGTGTGTGTGTGTGTGTTTTTGTGAGTGTGTGTGTAGATTCCCCGCCAAGAAAACACAAGAATCAACAAAACTTTATTTCGGGGGGGTTATTAATCAGTGCCGGCCCACAACATAATTTTACTCGGGGGAGGTTGTTGAATCATAGGTTGACATTACCTGGAACTATAGGCTCCTTTTATTTATAAAACACCTTCTACCTTCCTTGTTTTCTACACTTGTAGCAGACAATTTGCAAAACATGACGACTATTGTCACAATTGTCACACCGTTGGGGACCCTTTTTAGGCCCACAAACCGTTCAACAAGCGTTCAAAATTCGTTCAAAAGGTGTTGAAAGGCGTTCACAAAGCGTTCGGAAGTCGTTCTAGAGCGCTCGGAATGGCACAGAGCCGTACTGTCGTGACCATTTGGTCGGCGGCTAGAAAACCCGAGGATGTGCAACAAAAGTCAGATCCAAGCTGAATTTGCGTTTCGCCCACTTGGAGTGGGAGTTGTACAAACTGAGGGCTAGCAGGTAGAACCACAAGTCAATGGGTTTGTCATTTTGGCGCTGCTGCTGGTGCGTACTGCAGATGGGCTGTTTCTTTGGAATGTTTCACCGACATTTGGCCTGCAGCAGATGTGGAAAACGCCAACCTGTTGTTCCCCAAAGTTGAAGACGTATGCATGGACGTCTTTGCTTTTTCCGAGCGGGTGAAGGGGAGTGCAGTCATGGGTAATTTACATGCGTTCCGCAAAATTCCATGTTGTAGAGGGATTTCCTTTTGGGCGACCCCTGGAAAGGGCTCTTCTGTTTTTTGTTTGTTTTTTTTTCAGGCGAATATTACTGCCAGGTTTCCCTCCCCTTTTGGTTTCTTTTGCGACCTTCAACCTTTAAATGTGGAAATTGTTTGTTTCCCCATGAACTAGCAAGACTTCTCGGAGGGTCGACCAGCCCAGCACACATTTCGGATGAGGTGGCGTCCCGGCCATTCTCGCCTCTGCTGGTGTTCCGACTGGAAGGACGATGCCCTCTCAAAAAGCGAACATGGGACGTGATTCAAGTACGGCTGGTTTGGTGGTTTGTATTGTTTGATATCCTGGTTCTTGTACGGGGTAAATGGAAACCAGCTCCTAACCTCCGCTGAGCTTTGGCATCCAATCAAATAGCGGGGAGATTGAAGCCTGCTACCTGGACCCTCACCTCTAAACATTGGGATATTGCCCTAGAATTATGGGGCGATCCTGCTTTTCTATGGGTCGTTTGAGGGTCCCGGATCCAGGTAGCAGGGATAAGGACTGTATGGCTTCCCCTTGTGGCTGTAATCTCAGCAATGGTCACCATTTAATGTCACCTACCAAGATGACATGGGTCACACTCACCAAATCACGATTAGAAAATAGGGTTTACTCACCAACATGTGATGTGATTGGGGGACACAATAAATATAGACGGTGGCCCGGACCATTTGTTTGCTCCACCTACCTTTTTGGCGCATGCGTTTGCAAACAAAGCTTGGGTCGAACAAACAAAGCTGGCTGAAGACCGCAGAGCAAAGTTGGGGCGGGACTGCTCGAGTTTCCCTCAAGGCGTCCTCTTGGGTCCTTACCTGTCTGTTGTTGGAAGGATCAATCATAAAAAGTGCGTCTTTTCTGAGGGTACCTCAATCTTCTCCATGACCCATGGCTAAGAACCTTATTTGTTGAGGGTAAGAAGGAGACTCCCGGTGCCGGCTTGGTGTTGTAATAGTGTTGGCGAGCGCCACAAACAGGGGGGCTCCCCTTGCAGTCACGGACAGCCCAGATGACTTGCGTGTTTCTTTGTATTTATTTATTTTCAGGCCCTTCGAGCCAAGCCATTCAGGTATCCCCGAATGGTTAATTTTGGGAAATGGGACACTACCAACGAAACCAAACCACCAATACAAAAGCACTTCGAGGGAAGCTTATTGTCCCACTTGCTGAGCTCCTGGGCTTCAAACTGTTTGGGAAGGCAAAACTTTTGGTACTCCTTTGAAACGATAATTTTGGGGTCGCCCAAAGGCTCTCCTTCGCTCCTTCCCGTTTTGTAGCCTTCCGGACATGGAATCTTAATCCCTGGCCATGGGGAGGGAGCAAATTGGTAAGCAAGTTCATACCTGGAGTCTCCTTCTGACCCTTACAAAATGGTTGGTCATTACCCAAAATTAAGGGGTCATGGACCCATTTTGTAAGGGTCATGGAGACTCTAGGTACATGTTTTCGCCCATCCACCAAGGAAGTGAGAGGTTGGTTGGGTGCAGATGTGCGCGGCTCGCAGGACCACCACTAACCTCTTCCTGTGCTGCACTGCCAACATCCTGGGCCGACAGAAGCTGGCTCCCCTCTTGCTGTCGCCCGGATGTGAGGTGTTCATTTGGGAAGTCTGGACTGGGGTAGACTTAGGATACATTTTGCGTTTTGCCAGTGACTCAAGTGAAGCACACAATGAAATATACATTCTATAACTGGGCCTAGCTCTAATCATGTGGAAGACCGGTTTTCTTGAAGTGGTAAGCCACCTCGGTTCTAACCCTAGCTTGGCATCGAACACCCAAGCAGGGGGACGTACCAACCTCCATTTGCTTCAGAATATTCGTTTTATTTTCCCTTGTTGGTGTTAAGAGGAATTCATCACTGGACATCTTTTTCATCTTTTCCCTGGGGCCAAAAAACCAAATGGAACCTTGGTCTTCCAAGGGCCCGCAAAAACAGGGCCCTTCTTGATTTTGCTCTTGGTCGGAAAAGGAAAATCCGCCAAAAGGCCTGCTTTTTCAGGGTCCTGGAAGATCAAGGGAAGTTGAAGAGGAGAAGGTGTTCAGCGCAGAAAGAAGCTCCAAGGTCGGCCTTGCATCGGCCGCTGCAGCGGGGGGGCGATCTGTTCATGGCGGTCACGGAGCTGCAGATGGCCCTCTCCTTCCTGCCGCAGGTGGAGCGGGAGCGGGGGCCTCAGAGGGTTGCAGGGGCGGAACCTCAAAGCGAAGAAGCTCACTGGTGGTTTTCTGGGGGGACACCAATGGAAAAAAGCCCACCCTCTGGCAAGGGAGCGTTTCTGGAGGGGAAACCAATGGAAACAAAAACCCACTTTTCTGGCAAGGGAGCGTTTTTTGCGCAGAGGGTTGCAACTCACTTCCTGCGTTGGACTTCCTCGCGTTTTTTTGGGTTAGGGGGGGTTAGAGGAGACCGTTTTAGTGTTGCCAACAAAGTGAAAGCCGGATTCCGGATCCGGTTCCCGACAAAGTCAGGAGACAGGTCCGCGGTCGGACCTGGTCATATTTGTATCATTCGGAGGCTCGGATTTTTTTATTTCCGTTTCGCGGTGGAAACCACCAGAAGGCCAGGGGGCAGGCTTAGTTCGTGGTACCTAGAGTCTCCTTCTGAGCCTTAAAACATGGGCTGCCATGACCCCTTAATTTTGGGGAATGACCAACCATTTTTTAAGGGTCATGGAGACTCCAGGTAAGTAGAACCATGGTGTCCAAACTCAAAGGACTGAGAACCATGGCGAGTGGCTTATCTCAAAAACCTTTGGCCTGAGCCACTCCCTCAAAACCCGGGTAAGGTTAGCAAGGGCCGAACAGGCCTCCTGAATTTGCAACTTTTATTTGAGAACCAAAAGTGGCGATCATCTGCAAGTCACAGATATGGGAATCCTACATTGGTATCACAGCGCAGGTCGTTTTCCCATGTACAAAACCAAGGGAACATGGAGCACATACCGGCTTCAAACGAATGGCTGTTTGTACCTGCATGTGGCAACCTGTGCCTCATGCTTGTTGTGGTTCTTCTCTATTTAAGCCATGGCCCCCGAAATGAAATACTGGTCAACCCCGAACTACCGCTGACACATATACCCAGTTCACACCCTGGGGGATACAGTATGCAACTCGCAGAAAGTCTCGCTCCTGTTTTCCCAGGCTGGGCACGCTGCGGTACCTGCTGTGGCTCTTGGCCAACACAACGGGCATCAACGGCCTTTTTGTGCTCGCGGTGAAGCTGTGGCTCGGTTGGTTTGGTTTAAGAGTAACTCTATGATTACGAGTTTGTTCTTATGATCATGCCATTGTTTGGTTTCAACATGTCTCCCAATCCCCTTTTGGCCCCTTTTAGTATTCGGGCTCTAAAAGGTTCACTGTGAATAGTAATTAATCGCCATGGTCATAGAGGACCACACCTACTGTTGGCCTGACAGATGGTTTCAAGTTATCTGTTCTCAACCGTTTCACCACCAGACCGGCTGTTTGACCGCAACCCATTTGGGAAGGTTTTAAGATGAAAAGGAAGGAACGCAAGGCATGGCCATCACAAAGCTGGGGTAGACTTAGGATACCGTGTATCATTTTACCAACTCAGAGTAAAGCAAACAACAAGATATACATTCGAGAACTGAGTCACAATCAAAACCTGGGTAGATGAAGGTTAGTAAGGAACAGTCCCAGCCACAAATAGTTGCGGCCGCTTTCTTAATTCTTTACATGGTTCTGGGTCGATCATTTTAGTACCAGGTTTTGATTGTCACTCAACTGGGCCTAACTCTAATACAAAGGTTGCCCTTCCACACGGGCCGGTTCTGCCGTGTGATATCAACTTGGATTAGCCTAGGTGATGAGGCAAGGATAGAAATCGTCATCTTGGCAGAGGAAGACTCAGAACCTCAAACCCTATACCGACCTCAACTCGTTTCACTGGGCTCACAAGCGGACGATGCCATTTGTTTACTTCCATTTGCTGATGTTTCCCTGTGAATTGCAAAGGGAATCTATCACCGCTGGACACATATTATATACCTGGACCCTCAAACTACCCTAAAAAGGGACATCTGCCCCAAGTTTTTTGCGGCAATCCCCCAGTTTGATGGGTAGTTTGAGGGTCCAGGTAGTTGTCTTTTTGCTCTAGGGGACTTAAGCAAACGGGAGTTGACCATTCCTTTCGCGCGACTCACACGTCACCTGTTGCCTCAGGCTGGGCCGCTCTGGACTTTGCTCAGAGCTCCGATCAAACCAGGGCCTCTGGAGCGATCGGGCGCCGGTTTGTGGAGATACATGGTTGTTGTTGGGAAACATGTTCCATTTTTTCTTGTTGTGGTTTAGTGGGAAATATTCACCCAACTGCAAGCAAATGATGTTTTGCTCCCCTTCCAACGTCAACCAAGTATATGGCTTTGGGGTGTCTCTCGTTTCTGGTGCGACAAGTAAGGAATGAGAAATGGAATGAACCAAGAGGGTCCCCTTAAAGGTAACCACCAGTTGAATGGTTTATAGGGGTCATTCCATTTCTCATTCCCTGCCTATCGCACCAGCAAGCAGAATGGGGTTGTCTTTTGTGAGGGAACTCCCCCGAGGCGCATTTTCCCTTTAAGCTTTCCCTTCAAAACCAACCACGCGATAGGTAAACTCCAAAACAGACACCCCCCCAATGCTCGCCTGCAAATGAACGGAAGGAACAAAACAAGAGGTTCCCAAAAGGGAGTCCCCTCTGAACATTTTGGTTTGGGTGGCTCCGTATGAATCTGCAGGGGATTAAGTTGTTGCAGAATTATTTCTGGCCTCCCTTAATCAAAAGAAGCCAAAAGAAACTTGCTGGTGCTCAGTAGGGAATGAGAAATGGAATGAACCCTATAATGGTTTTCTTGATTCGGGAATCCCAAAACAGTTCATTCCATTTATCATTCCTTACCTATCGCACCAGCAAACTGAACATGTGTTAGTTGAGACCCACTCCTTGTTTGGTTTGTCGGGGTTCGTAGCATTTCCATGGTTTGCCAGGGTCTGGACACCGTTTCTTCACTGTTCTTGGCAAGTTGTTCAGTTGTTTTTTTGTGTGGTTCTGTTCGTTTTTAGTAGTGGCCAAAAGAAACGACCATACCAAGGGTTGTGAAGGTTTTATTTGTTCCTCAATTTCCTTTTCTTGGACCTCCACAAGTTGCAGTTTCAAAGGAACCCAGTAAATTTATCCACTTTTGGAGGGCGACCCCTGTGACCCCTGACTCATTCTTTATGAGACTTCAGGAGTCCCTTCAGCTGAATGTGAATCTCCTAAGCAACCAGGGACCAACCAGGCCGCGAGTTGCCATCTTAAAACATGGGGTCGTGAGCCCTTTTTTTGGGCAATGACCAACCATCTTCTAAGGTTCAGACTCGGAGACTCCAGGTACTGTATTTAAAAAATGGACCCCCTGACTGTGGAGTACACTTCTGGGGCACTTCTTCTTTTGCCCAGCAAATGTTAAGGCAGGACGCCAAGTGAGGCTTGGTCTTGGGGATGAGAATTTTCCATCCACTCCTCGGCGGTTTCAATCAAGGCAGGCAAGGCATCTGTTTAAGTCTTCCAAGCCCATTCAAGTGCCCTTAAAAGTTGGAAAGAGATAGAGATCCGGCTCAGCCGGCCATATTTTGGGTGGGTCCCTCTGCAAATTGGACCCGACTTGAATCCATTTCTCGAGGAGTCTGGCGGTGGCGTGCATGACGCGCCGCGCCTTGGAGAACCCAGAGCTGCCCTGCACCGTGATGGGCCTGGTAGAGGTGCCTCAGCCCCTCAGCTGAAGAAAAACTCCCTTTTACTAGGCCCCCCAGCTAAGTGCCCCTTTTTTGCGCTTGTTTGGGGGAGGGTTCCCCTACTAAAATTGACTACAGAAAAAAGGGTACCCCTTTTCTAGCCTCTCTACTGGAGGCTATTGAACTCACCAAAAGGTTAGGTCAGGGATGGTCGGCAGGGATCTTTAACCTTTACCCTGCCGACCAGCACGCAACCCGACATCCCTTTCGGTCCTGGTAGACTATCCTTGAAAGGGGAACCTCTGGTGGGTTCCATGTTAGTGCAGAGGAGGGTAAGAGTTTGTTCGTTGATTTTCCGACCAACCAGCGAACAGTTTGGCTTTGGCGCCGTCGAGTGTCCAAGAAGCTTTGTTTCAGGGAGCAAAAGACACGGGGAAAACCGCCAAAACATGGTCGTTGTTGGGAAACCGTTTTTTTTTTTGTTTGCATGGTTGCTTATTGTGGTTTAGTGGGCAATCCCCAGTGAACTGCTAAAAGTTGAATTTGTTGCTCCCCTTCCGACGTCAACCCAGAAAACGCCGGGCTCGGGACCCGCCGAGGAAGTGGTACCCGGTCGCCATCGCCCTGATGCTGTCAGTGCTCGAGGGATCCATTCAGTGCCTTGCACCAGCCATGGGTTTTTTGTTGAAGTTTCGGCAGTCCTTTGGTTCCCCAAGTTAACTTCTGGACACTCCACTTACGAACCCTGAGGCCCCCAGTTCGAATCCCTGGGCTGAGAAGATGTTTGGTTGTGGTCTGTTTGGGAAGGAGTACGAGTCTGACCCTTTGAACGGGTCGTGACCCCTACTAGGTCCCCCAGCTTGGTGCCCTTTTCTCACCCTTTTTTGGTTGGTTTTGGGTTCCCCTACGAAAATAGACGACAGAAAGATGTTGGTACACTTATTCTAGCCTCTCTACTGGAGGACCTAGTTAAAAATGGACTTGGAGCGGGTTGCCCAATTCCAGGTACACGCAAAAGCAACAACATACCCTTTCAGCTCGGGGAAAACAACAAAAACCAGGGAACAAAGGACACTATGGTGCATTTTGCCAAGGGATCTTAGGACTTTAACTTGTTGCCAACTAATGGGTTTTCATTAAACCACTGAAAGTTAAGCTTTTAGGAGGGGAGCAGAAAGCAACCGAGTTAAACATGGACTTGGAGGGGGTTGCATTTTCGTCAACCCATTTCCCCTATGGGAAATACTATTCTCTGTGGGACAAATCCCGTGTACCAATAACCAACCTCAAAAGGAAATTTGTTGGTTTGCCATTTGGCGTGTGTCCGAGAGCCCTTCTCACCCATGAAAGCTTCCGACCTTCAGAACCTTTCCTGACGTTCGCCCATGAATTTTCTTTTGTGAGTATTGAGTGTCACTTTCTTTTTTTGTAGGGGACCCCCAAAATGGTGTTCCTTTCGGCTTCCCTTTCAGCCTACAAAAAAAGGAGCACTCACATGGTCGCGTTTTTTTTGGGACGGCAAACGCCGAGCTGTGTGTTCCGTCTTTTTTTTGCAACCTCGGGGCTTGGATTTGGTATTCCTGACTCCCATTTTTTGTCAGGGGCCCAAAAGTTGAAGCTCGCTTTGGGCAACTGAGAATTTCAGGTTGAATCGGCTTAACCCTCACCACGACCGCACTGTGCCTCACGGCAACCGAGACCCGCAAAAAAAAGAAAGCATCCCCCGAAACCACCCGGGAGACCGCAACTCCTGAAGCAAAGTGGGAATCAGGTTCTCAGTTACTCCCTGAGTTGGACTTTAGACTTTTCGGGTCCGGACCAAAGTAGTGGCAAACAAACAGGTTGGAGTTTTGCTAGCAAATCCACTCTGGAAGTGAGTATATGTGTTACTTCCACTGTTGGTTTTAAAGGGAGTCCATCACTACAGTTTTGTGCCTAGTCCATCACTGTAAAAGGACTTTTTGGGCTAATCGACTCCATCAAAAGTGAGGTTTCAACGATTTTGTGCAGGTCTCCCTTCCCAACTCGACAGTTAGGACTGACCGGATCTGGTTTTCCTTGGTTTTCTTGGTTCCCGGCCATCCCCGTAGGTTTTTAGTGGTTTTCGGGGCTTCAGGGTCCAAGCAAATCAGATGACTCGTTTTTCTTCGCCGTGCGTTGGACAATGGACCCTTTTTTGTATGGGTGTTGATCAGAAGCTCCTTTACATGGGATGACCCGTGGGGAAACAAACATGATAATATTTCCCACTGCATGGGAAGAGTTCCCCATGGTCATTTGGGGGCCAGGAATATTCATCAAGCCCTGAAAAGCAAACAGGGAGCCGTTTGCATTTGATTCGCAGGTGGGAGACCTTTTGCGCAGCTCTCTTCGCCTATCTTTGGCGCTTGCTGCACCTGGACCGGCGCTTGCTCCCGTCCCCCAGCCAAGCCGCGGCACTGGAGGACAGAGCGCCCAAGGCGGCGTCGGAAAGCAGTGGGCGGGTTTTAAGGAAAACCAGGAAACCAGACGTGGGAGCCATAGGTGTCCTTTTTGGTTTTGGCTGAAAAATAGAGGGCCCTGGTTTACCTTGCCAGGGCCATCTTTCTTTTCTAAAGACACCTATGCATGGGAGTGTCTTCACATAGGGGACTCCCCAAAAGGGTTACTGCCAAAGAAAGACAGATCCACAATTTTGGGGCATGCTCCTATTTTAAGACACATGCTTTACCCATTCCTTGTGTAGGGGACCCTTTTTTGCATACCATGTCATAACTTTGGCAGCGCCTGAATACTTTTGTCTGGATCTTGGTAGGCTTATGCTTCGGATTGAAAACCAGAGCCGCACGGCTGAACAGTGACGCCAACTTATTCTAACCTCTCTACTGAAGGAGCTAGCTGTGCACTTTTTGAAACACGGGCTGCTTCCAGAACACTTTCGTCATGTTCGTGTGCTTCTCCAAGAGGCGTTTCTTGCGGTTCTCCTGGAACAGGCCCCCCGAGGTTTCACTTCAGTTCCACCTTTTTCTTTGGAGGGTACCCTTTTTTATGGGTGTGAGCGACCAAAGGAAAACCACCATTTTTGTTGGGTCCCCGAACGGTGACATGTCTGTTACTCTTGTCCCTGCTATTATGCTTTTGAAGTGTGACTCGTGTTGTGTTGTTGCTTTGCCCCAAAACCTACCATGTTTCCTAGGTCAGTTTCCAAGGTCCAGCCAATGTTAGCGGACACCTAAATCTTCACATTTAATACTGCCCTAACTTCACTGTTTTAAGCCTGTTTTTATAGGGCTACTTAGCTAGTTAGTTATCACAAAACAATAAATTTAAATAGGAGATACAGCATATAATAGACAGGACATGCCATGCATTAGGACCACCTTTGTCCTTCTATCAGCCACCTGTCATGAGGTCACGCTTCTTCCTTTCTCTTTCTCCAATATTAGATTTCTGAATTTCAGAAGCTACAACCATGACGGTGAGAAAGGACGAACTTGAATGACAAGGAACTCACATGAAACCAGAGATTGGTCAACACGGACCATACAAAGACAATTAGACTAAATTAATCATCATATAATCAACAACTCCTAAGGAGCAAGACATGGAACACTTATGCAACATGAAGGACATTATGATGATACACAATAAAGAACAGAAACATACAAGGTTACACGTATAAAACAAATGACAATACAAGCTACAAATTGAATAGTAAGTCAAGAACTTCGAAAATATGTCAAGGGTTTTGCGGATTAGTAGCTTTTTATTAGCTACTCATGCGTAAAACTCTTGGGAACGGAATACACACATTCCATCTCACGACCAAGATTGAAGTTTTGTCTTAAGCTGCTCTTCAAGATCCTTCTCGCTCCACAAAAGGCTGAAGTCTTGTGAACAGAGGGATCGTAGAGGCGTTGAATTTGACCGCAGGCAACTTCTGCAGGGATCGATGGCTGTCGAAGCTGAACCAATAGCTTGCCGTGATATCTTTTTGTGGGGTGACTTCTATTTCTGCAGCTGCTCTATTCGTGTACAAAGGCGATCTTTCTCACAAAGTGGCACTTCCAAAAAGCAACTGGGTTGGTTTCCTTTGGGTGTCCATTCAACAGACACGCACGGGATATGAGACAAACCCGTATCAACGACCTCTTGCTGGTCACCCAATGTTCTATTCACCATGTTGCCTCTAAACAGGTGTGTCTCAAAAAGGGGTAACCTCCAAAATGGCTGGTGTCTTTTTGGTTTCCCTTTGAGCCAGCCCCCCCAAAAGGGCGCCAACCCAACAAAAGGGAAGCACACCCAACTGGGTGACTGTTCAATGAGTGGTTTCCTTTTTCTTGAAAGTAACCTCAAGGTCTCCCAAGCGGCACACCACAAACATTTCAGGTGTCGCGACAGCCATCAGCTTTCAGGTTTACTTTGAGCGAATTTCTAGAAGTTCCGATGGTTGGTTTCCCCAACCTAAGCTTCCATGTGCTGAACTGAATAAGAGTCTCCTTCTGACCCTTAAAAAATGGTGGGTCATTACCCAAAATGTTACGGGGTCATGGCAGCCCATTTTTTTTAAGGGTCAGAAGGAGACTCTTGGTATGTTTAGTATATGTTCCCCTCTTGGTTTTGCAGGGACTCGTGGCTCGTGCTCGCAAATGGAGGTTGGAGCGCCTTGCTCCAAGCTTGGGGATTCCCCCTTCCCAAAACGTTGAAACCTCGAGCCAAAAAGGGATGTCCTCTCTTTGGTGCATTTGCCAAGGGCTGTTAGGACTTTCACTTTTTGCCAACTAATGGGTTTTCCACTAAACCACTAAAAGTGAAACTTTTAGCAGGGGAGCAGAAAGCAACCGAGCTCTTGTGGGGGATTCAGAGACCACTTCTTCTACAGTGGATGGACGCGAAATCGAAATCCGTTCGCCACCGTCAAGAAACGCAAGGAACAATGAAGTTTAGCCATGGTTTCAATCTGCGACATGGTTTTCGATCTGAACCATCCACAGCATCAGGTGGTTCATCCGTCGACCTTTCCGAATCCCCGCAGGTGCCGGGGCTTTTGAGCCTCTTGGGCGGCCACTGGGTGCGTTCCACGCGCCATCCGCCCAACCGAGGTCAAGGCCTTGGCCTCGGGGGAAATCCAACAGCTGGACGCTATGGATTTGGTCGATGGGCGGTTTTCGTTTCGGAGGGATCAACAGGAGGGTCCCAGGGCATACCACCTGGCCTGCCTTTTTGTTGGAAAGGGGTGTTCCTTTAGAAGCGCCTCTTTTTTCCCTATGTCCAACGAACATCGGGGTGAAGAAACGCAACGTCTACCCCAAAGCGTCGGGCGAGGCGCTCGAGCTCGGGCTCGATTCACTCTCTTGTCCAGTGGTTTACGCCCCTTTTTCAGCTTTTTTTGAGGGAAGGGTTCCGATTCCTTTAAAACTCAACCAGCCAAAAAAGGATGCCCTTTTTAGCCATGGCCACTGGGCAACTGAGTTTCGCATATGGGGCGCTGTTTGGCTCACCCTCAAAACAGAAGAGGGAACCTGCACAGGAACTCTTCGTAGGCATACCTGGGATGATTTGGGTCCATGCACATCTGTAGGGGAGTGTGGTCCTTCGTTGGTTGGGATGCATGTGCCCATAGGGATGACCGCAAAGATACTGTAGTTGGTGGGGGGGGTGGCTGGTTTAAGCAATTTGAAGCATTTGCGTCGATCCACTTGCTTTGTGAATGACTGCGACTTTGGATCGTACATATCCTTCAAAAAATTGGGTGGACAAAGATTAAATGCATGAAGGGTGTTTCTGACAATAGGGGTACCGAAAATGGCAGCTTTCCTGTTGGTTTCCCTGAAACTGACCTGAAAGGGAGAGTGACAAACCCATGTGTGCGATGTTGGTTCTCTTAGGAACCCTTGTTGTGGTCTCTAGTTCCTCGGATTCACGACCACCAATCCCCACTTTGACCTACCCTCCAAAACGTTTCGACAAAAATCCCCCAGGTAGATGACGTCGACCAAAGAGTTGAAAACGCCTTGTCCAAGACTCCGCGCGTGTGTTGCACGCCTGAAATCCAGGCGTCAGAACCGAGAATGCCGAAGGCACCGAATGGGTGGGAGAGTAGTCTGTCAGTTTCTGCCGGAATTTAAATGTCGCATGTGACCAAATAGGATGAGACCCCAAAATGCCGGTTTTCCTTTTGGCCCTTTAAACCAAGCCCGAAAGGGGCAGCGAGCCTCCTTAAAAGCACAGACCCAGATGGGCATGTGTCAACAAGGACTCCCGCCCCCCACTTGTTGGGTGGATTTCCTTTGGCCCCCCTATTAAAGAAGAGAGAACAGACGGGTAGTGACACAGTGAGCCTCAAGAACCACCCCAAAGTTGCTGCAGGGAGATCAACGATGAGAAAGCCCCAGTCGCTTTTAATGGAAGAAGGGCTTGTTTCATACCGCACGCCATGGGCCCGGGGATTCAAACCGTTCAGGCAATGCTGGTTCATATTTACCCTCCCACCAACTCACGTGGTTCTGTGCGAAAAAAGAAGTCCTTTCCAAGTGGGGTCTGTATTCTTTCTACAGGGGTCCGTGCACTTCCATGTTAGCCTGTGGGAGGGTAACCCCTTTATTGTTTGCCTCAGGAATTGTCATCATCCAAATCGTGTGCTTGCCATTCTTTTGATGGGGGTTGAACCCTACTGTGGGTACCTGCTCCTTGGGTTTGCCTTTTAAAACCACCCCAAGAAGCGCGGACAAGGCTGGGTGCATCCTTTTCGTTGGGGCAAGAACAAGGACTCTGGTTCTGGTCCCCTCAAAAACGACACCTCCCCCAATGGGTGTGTCTTGAAACGGGGGGCATGCGGGGTTTCCTCTCAAAATAGGGGGGCCATTCAAATTGGGTGGTGTTCAACCCCAAAAAGGGGCAACCCCCTGGCTGTCGGGCTGTACAATGGTCTGTGAAGTGACCTAGTGGCTCCATGCACAAGCCATTGCAGGGGGTTGGTATGGGTGGCTCGTCGTTTTTGATGATACCTTATTTGGGATTGGCAAGATGTTTGAAGCCAAGAGGAGAGAGCCGAAGCCTTTTTGGGGCGCCAAATCCCGAAATTTGGACCCATGAGTCTCCTGACCCGCAGAAAATGGTTGGTCACCCAACATGGAGGGGTCATGCACCCATTTAAAAACGGGGTCAGGCGCGACTCCAGGTCTGGCCCTCCACCCTTTTCACATGGAACCCAACAGAAAATTCCATCAAAAAGAGCTTCCTCCATTTTTGTTTTTTGTGGGGTTCCTTGTCTAGCTCCCCCAGTAGTCCCTTTTACCCTTTTTCGGGGGAAGGTTCCCCTACTAAAATAAAACCAAAAAGAAAGAAGTGGGTACCAACCTATTCTAACCTCTCTACTGGAGGCCTAGATGTTAGTCTGTTCATCTGATCCCTTCCGGTATCTTCGAGTGCCGCGTGTCTCCTTCGATTCAAGCCTTGCGCTCGCTCCAGCCCCGCGCGGCTTCCAAATCTTCGGCGGCCGGGGCCATCGCTTGGGGGATTAGTCGTCAGGCGAGGGTTGGCTGTGAATGGAGGGCTCCTCGTTTTCGAGTGGGTAGTGCTCGTGTGTGGTTAGGGAGACCTAAAAGGGGAACCCACGCCACTGGGCATCTGAGTTTCGGATGTTGGGAAATTCAAAAAGGAGAACCCACCATTTGGGGGGGGGTCCCGTACAAACATCTGGGTATACCCGATTCCGGCCTTTTTCTTTCTCTTTTTCTGGGTAAGGGTTCCGGTTCCTTCAAACGTTTCCAGTGCCCATGGCCACTGGGCAGAGTTGTGGTTAGGGAAAGCCGAAAAGGAGAACACACCATTTCATGGTGGTTCTTGGGAAACATTTTACATTTTTGCTTCTTGTGGTTTAGTGGTTGAAATCCAACCACTTAACTGCCTAAAATTTAATTTGTTGCTCCCCTTTCAACGTCAACCAAGATTTGGGGGGGGTCCCGGCGACAAGCATCTGGGGGGTCCCGGCGGGATCGGGGTGGTCGATTCGCCAAGCTCGTGAGTTGTGATCGTAACCGTTCAGCTCACGTATCTTGGCGGTCCCCAGTTCCTTAGCCGGGGATTTCCACTTGACCCACCAGAAGTTGAACTTTTAGCAGGGGATCTGAGGACAGCCCAGTTATAAGTTCCCCTAAGTGGGGATAATCTTGTCATTGCCGGGTTACAACCCAGGTGGCTAACCACTTGCTAACCTGGCGAATCGAACATCCAAGAGTTGCAATTACAAGGGGAATAGAAACCGGCGAGCCAGGCAAAAGTCGCCCGTACCATTGGGGACTTTACCATAGGCGGAGTTTCTTACAGGGAACCCGTCGATTTCTTTTTTAAAGGATATTCATTGAAGGTCTGGCACTTTGACTTGGAGGAAACAAATCTCATTTAGTGGATCGGGGTGTTTCGAGGGTACTGCTTTTTGCGGCGCTTGAATTGAAGGGTTGAAAGGCAAACCACATGGAAAGCCACCATTATGGGGGGTCCCCTTACTTTAAGGGCTTAGATAGAGATCCAGATGGAACGCCACCATTGTGGGGGTCCAAATCGCTATTTTGACATGTTGAGCCGCAACCAGAGAGAGAACCCCCGTGTTTGGTCCCCGAATTTGAGACACACCCAGTTGGTGCAATACGTCATGTGTGTGGATGTCTTTTTTTTGGTCAGGGGGGGTGGAAATCAACCTTTTGATTGGTAGAAGGAAACCAAAAGGAAACGATCCTTATGATATCAGAGAATGGGTTGGCACTTGCCACTGCCCGAGTTCCGATGTTAGCCGGGCATTTGTGCCCGTCAAAGTCCGGGTTTTCAAGACATGCAATTGCAGAAGCGCGATGTTTGTTGCCATTGGTGGGTGTTTCAATTACAGTAAATACAAGCCCCAAATAGATGGTTGCCGTTGGTGTCCCTTTACCATTCGAAAGGGGGCTCCCTCACGAGAGAACAACAACAAGCAGGGGACGGTCACACACCCAATTTCAAGTTTGTCATTTGGTATGCGTGATGTTGGTTGTTTTCTTGCACGGAGTCTCAAAAAGCATTTCTTAAGAAACCCTTGGTTGGTGGATTGGTGGTTTGGATTTGGATTATAGCTCCTGGTTCTTGTAGAGGGTAAATGGGATACCCCTCCTTGCCCATCAACCCACGGATTTGGCTCCAAACCATGCGAGGGAAGCCAACATTCACTCATTTTTTTCTTGACAGTGCCAGTTCATTGCACACCCGAAGGCAGCAGTTTGGGATCAAGGTGCGGCTGAGTTCAGAAGTCGCATGGAACCATGTTTATGCAACATCCCAAATTTGGTGAATGTGGGGGGCGTCGTGCAACCAACTTTTGAGCTCTGTTCGCGTTTCGAGCCGAAAAACATGATGACACTTAATGTTAACCCCGGATTAATAAACCCCTGGTTGCTTAATAGGGGGGTGTCCCCTTTTAGTGGGGAGTCAGACCACTTTTGGAGGGAACACCCCCCTAATAAGTCCATGGCTCTTCTTGATCTTGACGACACTTCTTTCAACCGGGCTCTCGTTTTGGCCAGACCTCGCTGAAAACAAGCTTACCCCTTTTTGCACGAATCGATCCGAACGATCCGGGGAGTGGGAGTACATAAATATTGCTTGTTCACCTGGGTTCCCGAATTCTCAGCCCACTTCAGAGGTACTTGTGGTGGGAGGAAAAGGTATGGGACACTGCAAGGCTTGTTGTTGCTTTGTCTGCAAGGGCCACGTCTCATGTACAAACACCCCGTGGCCGCCAACTTAGCATGGAACCTCGCAAGAATGGAGTGTACACACAGCACTAGTCGGACGTTCGACCCATTCAGCAGGTGGTTAGCCTCTTGGGTTATAACCTACCAATAGCTGGGTGAAGCCCGGACTTAGGGAACTTCCAGTAGTGCCCTTTTGCCCTTTTTTGGGGCGAGGCTTCCTCTACTAGAATAGACCAGAAAGGAAAAAGTGGGTACCAACCTATTCTAACCTCTCTACAGGAGGACCTATAGGTAGGGTACTAAGGTTGCCAACTTGCTGGCCGAACACCCGCGTATCAACTCCTCGGACCGCGCAGAGCTGCAGCCAGGCTCTGCCGTGGCAAGCTACAGACGTGCCATTGCCCGGCGGAGAAAGAGAAGCGCAGAGCGTCGGTGCTGAGCGCCAGTGGATGGTTCCCATTTTGCAGAACTTCCGTTTGCCTAAGAAACGTAAAAAAATGCCCCTGCTCGATGTAAGATCTATCACTACTCAACATGTGCTGTGTTTTGTTTTCCAGGCGACTTAAGCAAATGGAAGCAACACTTGCTAGTGATTGGAACATATCAACAGCGGGCACCCCCGCCACCCCCAAACTGTTTTGTTTTTGGTTCCCTTTCAACACGACCCAACAAAAAAGGTACTCTCAAAGAAGACAGGGGACCCTCCCGCGAGTGGAGTTCCGCCAAGGATGTCATTCTCTTCGCTGTCTCCGCAGCCGCCCCCGTGACTCCCGCAGATTGACCTGAGTCGATTCGCGCTTTCTCCTGGCGCCAATGAAAGTCTTGAACTAAAGGCGGCTTGGAGGTCCAAACTCGGTGCTTTATGGCCAAGGCAAATTCCACTCTTGCATTTGCTATAGAATATATTTGTTTTTGTTTCCCTGTCGGTTTTTACGGGAATCAATCTACCACTTTTGGAGACTTAAGCAAATGGAGGTCGTGCTTCGTGGCAAAGGTAAGTTCACCCCCACCCCCCAACCACAAAAGAAAAGAGGCTACTTTCTGGTTTTCCAAGAAAGGACTTCACCCACGGTGATGCCCTCTCAAAAAATGCCTTCCGGGATTCGCCCATTGACAACCTCAGCCAACATCCCAGGTGTTGTGCCCTTTGACCTCACTTGCCCACAGCAAATCGACCGGAATTGGCCTTTTAGAGTCCCTGTTTTAGTCCATTTTTAGTCATGACCTCAACGTATGTAGACAATATACTCACACGGAGACAGGCGAGCAGACAGGCATTGTTCCGCTTCCAAACTTCAAGCCTGTTGCCAGGTTTCTTCATGTTGATCTGTGGTTAAGAGCTTGCAAACTATTTCCCAGTCAACTTAGCAGGTAGGTTCTCCAAAACTTCCTGAGTGCCTGGACTTTATACTACCGACAGTTTTAGTGGGAAATCAGACGTCTGGTCACTGTTTTTGGGGCCATCCACTCGGGAAGTGAGTTCTTTTGTTGCTCGAACTTCGGGCAGCCTCCTTCAAAACTACTGAAAGACGGTGTGATCTCCATACCTGGAGTCTCCATGACCCTTAAAAAATGGTTGGCCATTACCCGGAATTAAGGGCTCATGGACCATTTTTTAAGGGTCATGGAGACTCTAGGTAGGTGTCCGTTTTGCTAGATAGGTGGCCCTGGTTGACCTGGTGGTTTCATAATCTACCAGGGAAAATCCATTCGAGAACCCATTGGGTCAGCATGGCGAGAATCCAATTCGGACAACCATTTCCGGACCCTCTGTTTCGAATTGAAACGTGGTCGGATCGATCGCTTGCAGGGGACAGTATGTGTCTATCGTTTTGGGAGTTGGTACCATTCTTTGTGGTTTTAAAGGGACACCAATAGGTTGAGAGTCCAAAAGACACACCCATATGATGTTTGGGGTCTCCTTCAAACAATATTATACGTGTCGCTGTTACTTGCATTTGTTGAAGATTGTTTTCATGTCCTGGTTGGTTTGAAAAGGAATCTATCACTATTACTATTCAAAGTATTGTTCCCCCCTACCCAAGCAAACGAGGTGTTATTCATAGTTTATTGAGTTTGAAACCGAATCTGCAATCATATTTCTTCTATGTACCTCACATGTGGGCCAATATGTGTGTAGAATCCATTGAAAGGAACCCAGGTGGTAGAACCCATTCAACCGGGTCGAAAATTAACTTCTTCCTTGACTGTTCAACCGTTGAAAGATCGTGGTGTCTTTGCAAAAGATCGGCTGGGTGGTCGTTGGGATCGGATACCACCGGGCGTCGGATTGTTTTTCCAGGACTTTCTCGATTGCTATTGGGTTGGATCTTTAGACTATTTGCAAAGACTTTATTTCCAGGACTTTATTGGGTTGGATCTTTAGACTTTAACTTTTTTGGGAAATGAACTATGTGCAAAGAACAAGTCCCACAACAAGTTGCAAAGCGTACTTTTGGAACCTGAACCCACAAAGAGGTTGAACTTTGGGTTAACTTGTTGTGAACTTTTTGGGTCCGTTGAACCCACACAAAGCTTACACTTGCAGAGGGCTCGTTGCCACCAAGACTTGGGTCCCCAGCCCCCGGAGCCCCGGACGCCAGGAGAACCTCAGCCGGCAAAGGCTGTGGCGGCAGCTCTGGCGCCGCGCGCCAGCGCCCCAAGCTTGCCGGGCAAGTCTAGGGCGAGCGCTGGTGTCAACCTTGGGCCCAGAAGTCAGTTTTGATGCCATGTGGTTCCAAACCGGGTGTTATGGGAAACCCCACCACCTCTGCAGAAGTGTGTTCCGTAGAATCATGTAACTCCGTACATCTAACATGGTTTCCCAGGTCCCCCCAGCAGCGCCCGTTCCCCTGCTAAAATAGACTACGTGACTACAGAAAGAAGGTGGTACCCTTATTCTAACCTCTCTACTGGAGGACCTAGAAGTTGTCTGAAGTTGGTTCGCCCGGGGTTCACTGGACCCCTGTTTTCTTTGGTGCACTTTGCTGGAATGTTGGGGCTTGAGCTTTTCGCCAACTAGTGGGTTGTCCATTAAACCACTAAAAGCTAATCTTTTAGCAGGGGAGCAGAAAGCAAACGAGTTTTGGTGGTGTTTAACGAAACCAAAAAGGAAAACAACAGGCCAGAAGTCGATCCAACTTGTGGGGTCCTTTGTTGGGAGTTCCTGCCACTTTAGGTGCAAAACAAACTGAGGAACCCATCTAGCCCCAAATGCTCAGGTGCACTCCGCCCCCACGCCCAACATGGCACAGGGAAAAAAAAGTCCCTTCAAGAGGAAATTGATCTTGATACCTCCCTGCCAGGTCTGCGGGAGGAAGTTGGGATTGGAGCTTTAGGGCTTGAACCCAGTTCTAATAAAAATGAGCAAGAATTACCTAGTCAGTGAACTCTCAAAAAATGGGGACAGTTGGTGCACATTGCACATTTGGAGATTGCCACTTAGTCAGTTAACTCAAAAAATGGGGACGGTTGGTACACATTTGGAGATGTCCCAGAAACTCGGTGGGCCATGATCGGGGGCCCATGTCATGTTGCCCGTACTGCGACAAGGCATTGAAGCGCTTTCTTCACTGCTCTTGGCGAGGTTTTTTAGAGCGTTTTAGGTGTTTTGGTTCTGATCATTCTTAGTAGGGGGCTGCAAGCAAAAGTGTTTTTCAACCATAATTAAGGGCTGTGAAGGTTTTATCCTCAGCTGGGCAACCAATTTCTCTGATGGTCTCCGTCGGAAACCAAGATGTACAGAAAAGAAGGACTCTCCGCACGTATGTGTCATGGTTTGCCTTTTTCACTGTTTGTGGGATAAATCAACAGCCCCGTGGTAGTGTAAAAACCCTTTTAAAGGGAGGCTGCTCATTTCAGCGGCAAAGGCACAGGTTCTCAATCTGGATGGTCCCATGTAACGTACCTTCGAGTCAACCCGGGGCCGAAACCGATCTTCAAGCCGACACCCACAATCTGTGTTTGCCACGATGGATCTGAGTCTCAGAGTCAACTGGTGCTGCCAGTGACTGGATATGTGTTAGACATATTCTGATATGTTTCTGTCTAAATCAATTCAATGTGTCCACATTTGTTTCATTCCGCAGTTCCCAGCCGTATCCTACTACTTTTAAAGGGACCACTGAACTGCGAAGACATGTCAAAATAGGGGGCCGCACAAATGGTGGTTTTCCGTTTGGTTTCCCTCGAAACTAAACTTGAAAAGAGCACCATCACATCCCAACAGTTTCCATTTGGGCGGCAAAAAACTGGGTCACTAAGTTTCAAACACAAGGGGACAATCCCTAAATCTTCCCCAGAATTAGCTCCCCGCCTTTTTAAGCTTTTTTGCTTTTTTGGGGGTCCCTTTGTTTTCCATCAACCAGGCAAAAAATATTGTTTTTTGCTGGGGTCCTGGTTCCAGCCTAGAAATGTCCCAGAGGGTCCAAGTCCTGAGGATGGGTTTTGGGGGGTAAAAAGGGGTCTAAGTACCTCGTTAGAAGGTACTTGGACCCTTTGGGTTTGTCCTCTACGAACGCGTTTTGTCCATGCGACCCGGAGCGAGCACCGTCAGGTCTGGGCATTCTCAGGCGGGGGCCGTGGTCGAAGCCGACAAAGAATCCTCAGGAAGGCAAAGTGACCATAGCGTTTCTCACTGTGCTTGGCAAGTTGTTTGTTCTTGTGTTGTTTTGGTTACTTGACGCGTAGACTCTGCGCAAGAGGAAGTGAATGAATCAAATGTTGTCTTGGACCTGTTTTCATTTTCGGGGCTGCAAAAACACAGGTTTGTTTGCACCATACAAAGGGTTGTGAAGCAAGTTGCCCATGTGGTGAAAGTCATATATATATATAGATATACTTGGTGGTTTCCCGAATGGTCAGTCACCCCGAAGGACCTTTTGATGAACCCCCAAGTAAGTTGTTGGAAGCAACCTACTTGGGTGTTCGATTTGCCAAGTTAGTAAGTTGTGGGTGGCCTAAGTTCCGACCCACTTACAAGTCCCTCGTGCATGGGTTATCCTTGCTAGGGCGTTATAGCCCAAGTGACTGACCATCTACCAGCTTGGCCGACAAGTAGCTTAAAACCCAACTAGTCCCGGTTCAGTGGTGTGAGCCCCTGCAAGTGGGAACCTCAGGCTAACCACTTGCCGGCCGAATACTCAAATCTGGGGTCTCAAATATGAAAACAACGTTTAAGGATGTTTAAGGGTAGACTGAATATGAAACAGAATCAGTTAACATCTTATTTTCTGTAGCACTTCTTTGTGGGCCTTCAAGTATATAGGGAAACAGAGATTCCTTCGTATTTTTATTGGATAGTCCTCTTCGCTTGCGAAAGAACGACAGGCCACGCTGGCCTTTTGCTACCTCTCGCGAAGGCACGGAGTTGGGTCGGTTTCCCTCTTTGTTTCAAGACCCACCCGCCAAAT